GAGTCAGGCACTGAGATATGGGGCGAAGATGCTCAAAGCAGTGACCTAGGCCAAATTGCTGGTCTTGGATTTTCTTCATTCAAGTTCACCATGGATGAGTTCCTCTGGCTTGTGCTGACTGTACAGGGGTACAGAGCAGAGAGCTGTCACCATGCAAGCTGCAAGAGAAACGTATCTGCTCGCTGCAGGCCATGTAAGAAGGAAGGAAGTAGCCTGTCAGGGCCTGTGCAGCCAGTCCCCGCACTGCTCATGGGAAGGGGGTGCCAGGAGGGTCACAGCCCTCCTGCCTCTGGTTTTCAGGACTGGATGTTCAGCTCTACATGCCCAGGCTCTTCATGGCCGGGGAGTCAGCTTTGGCAAATGTCTTTATGTCTTGTGTTCTGCAGAGATAAGATTAATTAAAAAAAAAGAGGCTGATGAAACTGCCATCCTTCACAGGCATATAAGGGACCTCATTTGTGATAGCCTCGAGGCTTCTTCCCAGATTGAGGATGCTGTGATAGATACCCGGTGCGGTCCCATTTCTGCCCTGGAATTCTAGCTTTGGGCAGCAAACCCTTCACTGTCCTCATGGTGTGTGCAGGCTCAGTACCAGCACCCCCAGCCCCACATCTCTCTGGGTACATTTCTTTTCTCTTTTCTTTTTAAAATATCTTTATTAATTTGAAAGGTCTAGTTACAGAGACAGGGTGATCTTCCATCCACTGACTCACTCCCCAAATAGCTGCAAAGGTCAGGACTGGGCCAGGCTGAAGCCAGGGTCCCGGAACTCCATCCAGGTCTCCCATGTGTGTGCAGGGACCAAAGCACCTAGGTTGTCTTCTGCTGCTCTTCCCAGGCCTGTTAGCAGTGAGCTGGATTGGAATGAACAGCTGTGACTTGAACTGGTGTTCCTATGGCATGCCGGGGTTACAAGCAACAGCTCTACTCACTGTATCATGATGTCAGCCCCTGCCTTTCTCCTTCCACACAGCAAGCCCCAGCATTGGATCACCTCTGACTGCTTCTTGAAGCTAGTCTCTCAGGCCAGTGGTGTGACCTAGCGGCTAAAGTCCTTGCCCTGAATGCACAGGGATCCCATATGGGCACTGGTCCTAATCCTGGCAGCTCCACTTCCCATCCAGCTCCCTGCCTGTGGCCTGGGAAAGCAGTCAAGGACGGTCCAAAGCCTTGGGACCCTGCACCCACGTGGGAGACCTGGAAAAGCTCCTGGTTCCTGGCTTTGGATCAGGACCACACCAGCCATTGTGGTCACTTGAGGAGTGAATCATGGGACGGAAAATCTTCCTGTCTGTCTCTTCTCCTCTCTGTATATCTGACTTTGCAATAAAAATAAATCTTTAAAAAGAAAAAAATAAAAGCTAGTCTCTCACCTCCCTGTTCTTGTGAATGGCTTGCCTCATTCCTGTCACCTTTAGACAGGAGTAGCTGGCGGTGGGGACTTGTGTGGACAATTCTCCAGGTCTCTCTCTGCCCTGACATCAGACCCAGGAAGTCCACTGAGGGCCCGAGCGTCATGCTAAGTGCATGTGTGTTGCGGGGTATATAGTAAAGTCCAAGACAGTACTCAGCTTCAAGTGGTTTGCAGTTGAGTAGATAGGCTACATGCATTAAAAACTTGGATGAACCAAGCTGAACATCCTGTTGGTGAGATACAGTTCCTGGAGCTCATCAGCAACAAAGGCCCATGCACACCTCAGAACTGGTGTCGCTCATTAGGTTCTTTCTGTCTTCTAGGTCGCTTTTTTCTTTTAAAGATTTGTTTCATGTTTCTGAAATTCAGTGTTCTAGACAGCAAGGACAAGAAAGAGAGAGACTTTCCATTCTTACATTTCCATTCCCTGGATCACTACTCTCTTCCCCCAGCGGCCACAGCAATCAGGGCTGAGCAGGGCTAAGCCAGTCGTTATCAGGAGCCTGGAACTCCAACCCAGTCTCCTACATGGGTGGCTCATACATTTCTTGGCTGAGGCCCAAGAAATTGGCTCATCTTCTGCTGCTTTTCCAGCTATGTTAGTAGGGCACTGGATTGGAAATGGCACAGCCAGAAATGCAAACCAGCACCCACATAGGATGCTGGCATCACATAGGTAGCTGAACCCTCTGCACCATGAGTCCACCTGCCTGCGGGTCACACTTCCAGTCCTATCTCATGTTAATATGTGAAGTGTATGCAGCGTTACTAGTTAGTGCTACCTGCTTCCTGTGTATTACCTCATCCATTTCTTGCAACAGTGTTTCAAGTGGGTACAGTTTTGGCCTCTGTCCCAGGCTACAGATGGGAGAATGAGGAAGGCTAATCAGCAACATATTCAAGTGACCTTCATGTTTCCAACGGCCTCTCCTTCCTCTCCTTCCTACTCACACTTTCTTCTCTTCTTCTCTTCCCAGGCCTCCAGCTAGCTGAGGCTGCACAAGTCTTACAGGTAGAGGACAGAGGCACATAACAGGAGTCAAGACAGTGAGTACAGGTTAGGGCCCAGCAGAGGGACACCAAGTCCAGGCTGGAGGTCAAGGGAAGACTGGGAAAGCCTGTACCTCAGAAAAGTGCAGCCAAGCAGCAGGAATGTCCAGAGAACATGCTAAGAGAGCAAGGCCTCCGAAGCAGGGCAGGCCCAGGGCTTGGCCAGGAGTCCTTGGGGGGCATGGCCTGGGGGCTTGGGAGTCTAAAGCCAGCCCTGTCTTGCAGCTGCCAATGAGACCACCAAGTGCACTGGTTGAGTGCCGAGCAGCCCTCTGTATTTGCTGGGTTTGAGTTTGGCTTTCAACTCCACTGCTTAGCTAGGACTCTATGTCCTTTATTTCTGGGAGCTCAGTTTGTTCATCTGTGGAATGGAGCTACTGCAGAATCCACTTTATAAGGATGGCTGGAGGGTGGAAAGCATACATTATACTCAGCACATGAAACTCTTCAAGAATAGTAGCTTATCTTCCAGACAGGCTTCAGCTTTTCCTCCTCTTCTCACATCCTATCCTTCCTTGGAGCTCAATAACTGCTTCAAATACATCAGAAATGTGGTGGCCACAAGGCACAAATTGGGAGCCAGCTGGGTTAGGCGGCGGCCCTGGCTCCCAGAGCCTGCGACCAACAACCTCACTTTTTCCCTGTAAGTGGGGAAGTAACAGTTCCTTCTCACCAAGTCACTGTGAAGACAAAAGCAAACATCTGCAGAGCATGTTCAGCATAGTGTTGTAGGGATTTTGACCCCGAATGTGGCAGCAACCTCAATTCTTGTCTCGCAGGAAAGAATTTTCATGTGGACACAGTTTAGTTTTAAAGCAAGATTTATTAGAAAAGTTGAGAAAGGAGACTCCCGTCCTAGTGACAGGAGGGGGCTCTGAGATAGAAAGGACCCTTACCCTCTGCCATAGTGGCAAGAGGAAAAGCAAGAGAGAAAAACCCTAGTCCCCTGTCATAGTGGAAGGAGAAAAGTGGAAAAAAAGAGACCAGTATCAATGGTGGGGAAAGCATCTTTTAAAGGTTTACCTCAAAGATGTTTCTCCATAAACCAAGAAAATTCCTGGTTTCCATGGTACCTGGCCCTGGGACAAAAGGCCCACAAAGGCGTCACTAGCCAGGAGGCAGAATCAGGCTGATACTTTAGGTGGCGAATTGATATGTTAATGTCGCCCTTGGCCCTTGGGAAGTGTGTTTCTGATATGTTAAAATATGCACTTGCCTCGGCAGAGACGTGCTCTGGTGAATTCAAGACATGGTGGGGAAAATACCCCTTTATATTTGAGAAAAAATGCTGACTTGGGGACCCAGAATGCCTTAACTGCCTACTACCCAGTCTAACTCCTCATACAATAGCCTGGCACCTGGCAGGGACCCTACCAGAGCTCATCAAGCCTTTTCTAGGTGGCCAGCATTGTGGCACAGCAGGTTAACCCACTGCTTCCAACATCATCAGCCTGTACAGGTGCTGGTTCTCGTCCCAGCTACTCTACTTCCCATCTAGCTCCCTGAAAATGTCCTGGGAAAGCAACAGAAAATGGTCTAGGTCCTTGGGCCCCTGTACTTGCAGGGGAGACCCGCATAAAGTGCCTGGCTTAGTCCTGGCTCTTGGAGCAATATGGGGGAGTGCATCAGAGGAAGAAAACCCTTTCCCTATTAACTCTTCAACTCTTTAAAACTCAATAAATCTTAAAAGGGTCTTGAGGATCAGCCATTCACACACAGGTCGGATCTGCTTTCCATTTGTGGGGAAGGTCAGGACTTGAACTTGACTGCAGCTCATGGCCAGGCTCACCTCTATGGCTGCTTACAGCAGTTAGACTGACAGAAGCCGAACCGCAGCTTGGCAGAACGTGTGCAGCTTAGCAGGTATCTTATACAATTAGCCCCTTTCTGGAATGTCCAAGGGACCTACTGTGCACTCTGTGATTGTGGGAGCCAGGGAGCAGTGATCTGAGGTGTGAGGGGGCAGTGGACAGCCTGGGATTACACGGCCCTGCGGTGTGGATGACCAGCAGGGCCAGAGTCGATTCCTAAATTAAAAAGGAATAAAAAATACGAATGTCCCGTTGATACAGCCGGCAACAGCAGCCACTTACTGTCTCCAGAACGCTCCCAAGAATGCTGTTACCCGGTAGATATTTTTTTCTCTTCACGCGTGGCTGCCACAGTTGGGCAACAGAAGGCGCAAAGCGCAAGAGACAATTAGGTCGGTTTTAATGCTGGGCAGGAGAGCAAAGCAACTATAACGGAAGTGTCAAGAGTGAGCCACAAGGTGTGCACAAGGTGTGCACGACCCAGAGGGTCACTTCTCAGCACCAGCCGCCCCGAGCCGCCCGCAGCCGCGCCCCGCTCCCGGCCCCCGCCTGGCCGCGTGCTTACGTGCGCTCCGTGACTGCCGCGCCGGACGCGGGGCCTGCGGCGCGGGACGCATGCGCGCTGGCAGCCTCGCGAGCGCTCCCTCCCCCCGCGGCCTCCGCGGAGGGGTGGGGCGCATGCGCACCGCGGCAGGGCGGAGGGGCGTCACCGGCAAGTGGAAAGATTTAGACCAGAAAAGTGCGCGGGAGCCGGGCGGCGACGTGCCATCGCGCAGGCGCGGCCGGGGGGCGGGCTACTACTTAGGAATCTCGGCGAACCCCTCTCTGCACTGCATTTTCTTCCATTCGCCGCCATGGCCGCCTACAAGCTGGTCCTGATCCGGCACGGCGAGAGCGCCTGGAACCTGGAGAACCGCTTCAGCGGCTGGTACGACGCCGACCTGAGCCCCGCGGGCCACGAGGAGGCGAAGCGCGGCGGGCAGGCCCTGCGAGGTACGGGGTTGCCGGGCTGGGGGCGGCCGGCTGCTCGAGGCCCGGGTCGACGGGGGCGACCCCCGGAGCAGCGTAGCTCTTGCAATTCCGCGTGCAGTTGGGGAATGAGGCGTACGTAGGATGCGGTTTCTGCAGGCTCAAGGTCATCCCGCGGGACGCCAGGGGCCACGCCGCGTCCCTTGGCGTTCTCCCGACGTCGTCTGGCTAAGTCCGCCTCTACCAGCTCCGGCGTTTACTAACTGGAGGGGCTGCGGTGCCCTGGATGGCGCCACCTGTGGCGGCAAGGCCATTTTAGGGTTCTCCCAGGTCATGGATGGGGCTGGGTGTTAGCCAAGCCTGCGAGCCGGCTGCAGACCCTCGTTCTGGGTTCTGGCATGTGTCTAGCGGGCGTCAAGACTGCTAAAAACCCACGTGCTTGTGCAGGGTCTCCCTGATCATCCACATCCGCCAAATGGTCATCTAGTCGCAGCCATGTCGTGAAAGAAAAAATGAATGAATGAGTGATTTGACTCGATCCCCTCGACAGCCCCACAAAATACAGATTTGCTCCTCCTTTCCACCCGGCCCTCTTGGCTGAAGTGAGGATGGGAAAGATGGTGTGTCCAAGGTCGTTTCTCCTAGTACAGTGTATGCCCCAGCTCTGGGTGCAGGGGCAGGTAGGTGTGAGGAGCTGGTGGGCCGCTGGCCAAGGCCAGGGCAAAGGTAACCATGGAGGAGAGATAAGGCCGGCTCAGGCCTGACCCTGCCCTCTGGGGTTTGGAATGCAGATGTGGAAACTGTCTGCTGGCAGCTACTCAGAGACCCCTTGCGACCACAGAGCTTTTCCCGCCGGGGCCCAGCAGCAGCTCATGGGGGCTAATGGAGGCAGTGCGGCCTCGGGTGGCCTCTAGTGTTCTGCCTTCACCATACAGCCAGCTTGCTCCAAGCAGAATTTTGCAACGACGAGGCCAAGGGATCCCGCCTGGGGGAGGAATGGGTGCTTTGCAAAGGCCGTGGGACCTCTTGCCCCCAGGAGAGGTCCCTGGAAGAGGAGGCCATTTTCTTCAGTGCTCACGTGGGCCTGGTGGTTTGCTTAAGAGCGGCTGCAGACAGAGCACATGGCCTCTTCACCAAGACGGATCAAGTGGCTAAACTTGTAGTTTGGAAAAGTAACAGGCTCCATTCCAGGTTTACAGGCAGAAATATCGGTAGCATTAACATCTATTATAAAAGATTCATTGTTTTTTATTGAAAAGGCGTATTTATAGAGATAGGATAAAAATGTTCTATCTGCTGCTTCAGTCCCCAAGCTTGAAGCCAGGAGCTTCTTCGGAGTCTCCCACACGGGGGCAGGGTCCCAAGGCTTTGGGCCATCCTTGACTGTTCTCCCAGGCCACAAGCAGGGAGTATGGAAAGTGGAATAGCCATAACACCATCTGTTGCCCAAATGGGATTCCAGTGCTTGCAGGCTGAGGATTAGCTGTGTGAGCCATTGTGCTGGTCCCAACATTTTTTTTTTTTTACAACATTACGTTTTAAAAATAAGATTTCGTGTGTAATATCCGCTAATTTTATAGGCACCACATATCATGTTAGAGAACGAAAGACAGGGAAAAATCCCAACAACCACTTTGAATAGATACATATGAAAGATCCAAAATAGAAGTGTTAGGTTCATCAGCGATGAATAACTGCCTTCCTCCTGAGACTTGCTGCTGGGGTAAGGATGGCATTTACACCTTCATCCTCCTGGCTATCTCTTTGTATCAAGGGAGGAAGCCTTTATCCCGCTGTGCTTCAGCGTTCTCTGTTGAGTGCCCATGGAAACCTCTCCTCGCGGGACCAGTCCCATGTGAAGGCAGGAACCCTCACTGTGGGGAGAGAGAACAGGCTGTGGCTCAGCATGTGAGCACCCCTTTCCCTCCCAGTGACTCAGCCTTTCGCTGGGAGCCACTGCTTGTCCCTGCCTAGGGAGGTGCCCAGGCCCCCAAGACTAGGCTCAGCATGAGCCAGCTTTTCTGTGGGTGAGGCTGGTGACCCCAGGGGGAATCCTCCCTTGCTGCATGGTGCCCTTGCTGCCAGCCTTGCTCTCAGCACTTGACAGTGTTTTACCGTTGCTAACCTCAAGATGAAGCAATGTCTGTGGATGCTTGTGGTGAATTTTGCAGTGGGCCTGGTAGTCTGTCTCCTGGCTCACTACCAGAGGAAAAAGGGTCATCTCTCCGTTGCATCCATTGTGCAACAGGAACTGGCCCATCCTGGGCTAGTGGTCTGCAGTGACCACCACCCTGGGAGGAGAAATTCATAGTTAAAAACAACTGGGTTGGACCCAGTGGAATGGCTCAATAACTAAGTCCTCACCTTGAAAGCACCAAGACCCTGTAATGGGTGCCAGTTCGTCCTGCTGCCCTGATTCCCACCCAGTTTCCTGTTTGTGGCCTGGAAAGCAGTAGAGGATGGCCCAGTTCCTTGGGACCTATGCCTATGGGAGACGTGGATGAGTTTTCTGGCTCTTGGCTAGGGATCTGCTCAATTCCGGCCATGTGGCCATCTGGGGAGTAAACCAGTAGATGGAAGATCGTTGTCTCCTCTGTAAAATCTTTCCAGTACAAATCTTTGAAAAAAATGAAAAAAATAACCAAAAGAATTGGGGCACAGCATTGTGTTTTTCCCACTGGGGGCTTCTCTAGCACTCAAGTAGGTTTATACTCTTCTACGGATGAAGGTTGCTGGCGCTATGACTAAAGAGGAACCCTTAACAGTTCGTGATGGGATTTCTACCCTTCATAGGGAAAGCATTATTTTGTGCAACAAACTGGTTTTATCTGCATTCCTATAGTGTCCTGATAGAACATTCCACTCTTCTAGCAGGTATCTATCAGAAGGGTCAATGCTAGCTAAAATACAACACCAAGATGCCTAGGAATGGAAAATGAGAGTGGCTAGAGATGCTGGGTACAAGAGTACCCAGCACCCTGGCCCCACTTCCGATCCAGCTCCCTGCTGAAGTGTCTGGGAAGTCAGCAGAAGGCCCAAGTGCCTGGGCTCCTGCAGTGACATGGGAGTTTGGATGGAGTTTCAGGCTCCTGGCTTTTGCCTGCCCTGTTCTGGCTGTGGAGCCATGGATAGTAAGTCAATGTTAGATGAGCAGTTCCCCCTTCCCTGTCTCCCTCTTCTTTAGTACTCAAATCAACTAATATTTTCTGAATCTTTCAAAATGTTGGGTTCTAGAATGACTTTATTTAATCGCTTTCTTACATCTAGCAAGTTGGGTTTTAAGGATTCATTCCTGACAGTGGCCTCTCCGTAAGATCCACTACCGTGAATTAGGAAGGGATCTGAGAATTTTAGCATTCCTTTTCTTTATAAAAATTGATATACAAGTAATCTTTTCTTAAAAGAGATTTATGTGAAAGGGTTATAGAGCTCTTCCAAATAGCCACAATGGCCAAAACTGGTCCAGGTTGAAGCCAGGAATCTGGAATTTTATCCAGGACTCCTGCTTGTGGAATCTGGGATGAATAAATGTATATTTTTTAAAAAATGCATAAAATATCCTGCTAGATAGCTTTGACTTGGATTACCTATATAGGAGCTTTATATGCAAGAAAATTCTAGCATATACAGAGTAAACCTGATGAGCTTATGCTTTTGTACTTGTGATTTTCATTTCCAGATGCTGGCTATGAATTTGACATCTGCTTCACGTCGGTGCAGAAAAGAGCCATTCGGACCCTCTGGACAGTGCTGGATGCCATTGACCAGATGTGGCTGCCCGTTGTGAGGACTTGGCGCCTCAATGAGCGGCACTATGGCGGTCTGACTGGCCTCAACAAAGCAGAAACAGCTGCCAAGCATGGTGAGGCCCAGGTTAAGATCTGGAGGCGCTCCTATGATGTCCCCCCACCACCCATGGAGCCTGACCACCCCTTCTACAGCAACATCAGTAAGGTATGGACTGTGGAGCTTTGCCATGGTGCTAGCCTCTGGACCTCTAGATCAAACTTCTGAAAGGGAAATTTACAGAGAGAAAGAGCCTCCATCCACTGACTTACTTCCCACATGGCTGTAGCAGCCAGAGCTGAGTTGATCTGAAGCCAGGAGCTTATTCCAGGCCTTACAGTTAGGTGTCAGGATCCCAAAAACTTGGTTCATCCCCTGCTGCTTTTCTAGGGCATAATCGGAGAGCTGAGTCTGAAGTGGAGCAGCTGGGACATGCTATGGAGCCCATATGGGATACTGGTGCCACAGGGTAGAGGATTAGCTTGTTGAATGAAACCATTGCACCAGCGCCATGTATACTTATCTTCAAATGATTTGCTTGCTTACTTGAAAGGCAGAATTACAGAGAAGGAAAAACAGATCATCTGTTGGTTCACTCTGCAAATGGCTGCAGTTGGGCGGATCTGAAGCCACGACACAGGAGCTTCTTCCAGGTCTCCATGTGAATGTGGGGTGCCAAATCAGAAGTATGGTTATATTTTGTAAAACATATCGGAAGCCTTCCTGAGCCAAAGGCAAGTTAAGGTGAATTGGGAGGCACCTTGTGGCCTTTTTTAAAAAAATATTTATTATTGGAAAGGCAGATGTACAGAGATGAGGAGAGACAGGAAGATCTTCCATCTGATGATTCACTCCCCAAGTGGCCAGATCTGAAGTCAGGAGCCAGGAACTTCTTTCCAGGTCTCACACCCAGGTGCAGAGTCCCAAGGCTTTAGGCTGTCCTTGACTGCTTTCCCAGGCCACAAGCAGGGAGCTGGATGGGAAGTGGAGCTGCCGGGATTAGAACCGGCACCCAAATGGGATCCTGGCGTGTTCAAGTTAGGACCTTAACCATTACGCTATCGCGCCAGGCCCTTTGTTGCCTTTCCCTCCCTTTTCTACATTTTTTTTTGTTTTGAATTGTGAATTTTCTCTAGTGCTGAACGGAAAGAGGTGGCAGGATAATAACGATCTCCTTTCCCTAGTTTTCAGCTGCATTCCAGACCTTCATCCATCCTAAGGGAGCTGAGAACTGTAGAACTGATGTATTGTGCAAGCCATTTAACAGAAGCAACTGAGAGTGGTTAGTAAACCTGGGTTGTTTTTGTGGTTTAGGATCGCAGATATGCAGACCTCACTGAAGATCAGCTGCCTTCCTGTGAGAGCCTGAAGGACACCATTGCCAGAGCCCTGCCCTTTTGGAATGAAGAGATTGTGCCCCAGATCAAGGAGGGCAAACGGGTTCTGATCGCAGCCCACGGCAACAGCCTTCGGGGCATTGTCAAGCATTTGGAGGGTATGTCCACACTGCTGCTCCGGAAAGAGCCAGACAGATTGGGAGGCAGTGGTAGCCTTGCCTTAGAGATGCTCCAGGACCCTCTAGAACTGACCTAGAAAGGGTATCTGTCCCCAGGGGATTCCACATCTGGTGAATAAAAGTTGAGGCACCCATTCCACTCCAGAGGAGGACTGTCAAGTGAAGGTGCAGGTGAGCCTTCTTAGTCCTCTCTTGACTGAGGCTACACTAAGGTATCTTCAGTGCCCTGGGGTGCCCAGTTTGGGCAGTGTGTCAGTTACCCAGGCTATTGGGGTAGAGTACAGGCCTCTGCTGTGTGCCAGCCTTCTCTTGAAGGGGATCTGTGCTGAGCACCAGTTTGTTTTTTCTTGGTGACCTGTCACTTTCTCTCCTAAGTTGCAGAAGTTGGGAACCTTCAGCTTGTGCCTATGTAAGGCCCTTGACATTTAGTTTGCTTTATCAAGGCAACCAACCACAGATAGGATTAAAAAAATTCAGCAGTCTGCAGTAGGCTAATTTAATTTTAAGTAAATAATTCTGTATGCCTGCAAATGACATAAATATCCAAAGGACCCCTAGAGGAATAGATTCCTCTCCCCTTGGTTTAGTGGCTGAGAAAAAATAATTAGGGACCATTTCCTGAGTGGTGGATCTATTAATATATTACAGCTTAGAATTTGTCACAAAGCCCATAAGAAATATTGTTCTAATTCCTACCAAAGTCTTTTGTCACCTTTGGGGTAAAAGCAACCTAGAGGGGATGTGGATTGCACTTTCCCTGGTTGATCGTGGTGGGTTGTTTTCAGGTCTCTCTGAAGAGGCTATCATGGAGCTGAACCTGCCCACCGGTATCCCCATTGTCTATGAACTGGACAAGAACCTGAAGCCCATCAAGCCCATGCAGTTACTGGGGGATGAGGAGACCGTGCGTAAAGCTATGGAGGCTGTGGCTGCCCAGGGCAAGGCCAAGAAGTGAAGGCAAGCAGGCAGAACATCTCCCTGGGACCTCCCTGCCTGCCTGCCCCCCCATTCCTCTGCACCCGTCCCCTACACGATACACTGACCACATCTGTAGGCACCTTAGGTTGTAGCTGCAGGTGGGGACTGGTGGCCCTGCTTTCCTCTTAGTCATTCTGTCTCCTGCACCACTCCCTTCACAGTATCTAGTCAGGACAGCAACCATGGAGGCTCTTGTGCAAGCAGAGGGAGGGGCCCTCTATCCCTGCAGTTGAGAGATCTGAAGGCCCCTATGTGAGTGCTCTACTTCCTAAGGGCCTGTTGGAGAAGGAAAAGGGTGGAGCCACGCGAAGGGCTGGCCAAGGGGAGAGCAGGAGGGTCTGCTGTGTTCCCAGGAGCCGGCCCTGGGCCCTTCCACAGGCAGGTGGCTGCCTCAAGAGCATGGGGGCTTTAGTCATTCCAGTGGAAGGTGAAGAAACCTACCCTGGTGATCACAAAACAAACCCCACCGCTTCCTCCCTGACCTAAGAGGAGCTGGCTCCAGAAGGTTGGGGTCAAGCCAGAAATAAATTAATGTGATGCATTTACTTTTAACAACAAAAAAGTGAGTGTATATGTACATACATAAACCTGGTACTAAAACAAAAGCCCCTTGGGGTTCCCAGTGGTGTTTCAAATAGCCTCCCATGTGGTCACCAGAAAACAAGCCATTCCTTGCATCAATATGGGATGAACCTGGCCTCCGAGGGGTAGGAGTGCCTCCTGTGTGTCTTGGGATTCCCCCCTGCCTTGTCTTGTGGCAGTGTCCAAGTGTGTCTTGCTGTCTGGTTCTGAATCATGTTTTCCTAGCTGCTTGGCCCTCCCTCGTGGGCCCAGTATTCATTTTGAGCATAACTGTACTAAATCTTTTCGAGAACAGAGTAATAAAGGAGTGATGTGCAATATTTTCCTGTTGTGTAATACTTGTCTTAGTAAATCTTAACACACACCTTGGAATGTCCCATTAGGTTCTTATGTCAGAGGTTGTCAAAACCTTTCCTGGCCTAGACCCCAGGTCTCTAGGTTTCTTGCTTAAGCCTGGGAAGCCAAACTGGTGACCAGGCCCATCCAGTTGCTGCCCTGTAGTGGCTGCTCATGCGTCCTGAAGATACAAAATTCCATTCTGCTTCCTGCATAGTGAGGAAAGGCTTTTTTTTTTTTTTAATAGGAAAGGCTTCTTGAATACTCTGCCCACCAATTCCAGCCTTTTCTGTAACTTAGAAACCTAATTCACTCTTATGTTTTAGATTCTCAAAGTTTTTGACTTATTTTTATCATAAAATCATTAGAGAGTGTAGGAGAGATCTTCCATCCGATGATTCGCTCCCCAAGGGACTACAATGGCCAGTGCTGTGCTGATCCAAAGCCTGGAGATTCCTCCAAGTCTTTCACACAGGTGCAGGTTTCCAGAGCTTTAGGCTGTTCCCGACTGCTTTCCCAGTCCAGAAAGCAGGGAGCTGGATAGGAAGTGGACTTGTGCAGGGATTGGAACTAACTCCCATATGGGATCCTGATGCTACTAGGCTCATCGCTGGAGCCCATAGGTTCCAAAAGCTTTAATCTAGCAAGTCAACTAACCAGCACTCTCAGAAGTCCTACATGTCAGTGTGGCTCCTTGCAGAAGGGAGAGGGAGGGAAGGGCTCAGATTTGCTTTCTCATTCCCTAAAGCTTTGGGCCAGATTCGCGGGAGAAAGGAAATGCCCTCAGGTGTTTCCCTTCCAGCAGGGCGAGAAACGGCCTCCACCCACTAAGCTCTGTTGCAGCCATCAGGTGACTTATGTATACCACCTCCAACCTGGGAATGTAACAGGCCCAAAGCCATGTGCTCAGTATTGGAGCTTAGATGAAGGGCATTCATTTAAAGCTCTTATCCTAACATGGAAAGACTCACTAAAGTGGTTTCAAGCTTTCGTGTGTGTGTGCTTTAATTGGACAGGCATATTTACAGAGGATTCAAATAGTTGCAGCTGAGCTGATCCCAAGCCTGGAACTCTTGTCAGGGTCTCCTGTGTGGTGCAGCCATCTTCTGCCTTCCCAGGACAAAAGCTTAGAGCTAAATTTAGTAGTTGGGCCTGAAACTAGCACCCATATGGGATGCTACCAACTGTGAGGATTATCCTGTGCTCCCCCATTTTTTTGAGAACTTTTTTTGGGGAGGAGGGCTGGTTTACTTTCTAAATGCCTGCTACTTCCAGGGTTGGATCTGGTGAAAGCTAGCAGCAAGGAAAATAAATGATGTCCCGTATGGATGTTAGGGACCTTACTACTTCAGCCATCTCTTGCCTTTTAGTGTGTGCATTATTAGGAAACTTGTATCAGTCAGGATCTCACGTAAGTCCAAGAGCCTGCCGGATGTTATTCAACCACCATGTTCTGAAGCCTAGTTAGAAGTGTGATGACTGGGAGAGGGCCTGCCTGCCCCCACAAGCAGAAAGCAGAGGCAAACAGGTGACAGGTGTTTGTGAAAGACCCCTCCCTTCTTTTTGTGGTGCCTGCCATTTTTGCAGGAAGCCTTGAAGGACTCCATTTGGGAAAGGGCTCAGGATTTGCTTTTTGCTGCCTTCTGCTGCTATCTAAACATGTACTGTTCAATTTTGCTGGCTAGCCTGAAGGATTGAGCTTCTATCAAAGTTACAACCAGTCCACCGCTAGGGACTGAGGGATTAGGACATCTCTCATTGCCCCTATAGTCAGAAGGGTTCCACCCATTCATAGGACTCCAAAGTAGCTTCAGAAGAAACTGTCCTGCCTGTAGTCCATGGGGCACATACATGTGCAACAAAGTGCTTCCTGTAGCACAGCAAAGCAGCCACATGAAAAGGAAATCTGCTTCAGCTCAGTGCTTGTGAGATGATGTAGCTGATGTCATGAATCATGAAGTGGAAACCTGCGACTAGAACAGGGCCAGTAGAGAAGGGCTGCTGCTTGTTTATCCAGTCCTGGAGGCGCCAGATTCCACACTGATCTCTGGAAACGGACTGTGTGGTGATGCCAGTGGATGCTGTAGCACAGCTGTGGAGATGGCTAACCACAATGGCTCAACAGTGGGAAGCAAGTACTCACGAAGCTTACTTGGGAGGATCAGCCAATTGACTCACTGCACCGGCCCATGATTTTTGTTTGTTTTCAAGATTTATGTTTGTTGTAAAGGCACGTTTACAGAGAGGAGAGATCTGTTTGCTAGTTTACTTCTTGAGTGGTCACAAATGTTGAAACTGATACAAAGCCAGGAGCCATCAGCTTCTTCCGGGTGTCCCACATGGGTGCAAGGCTTTGGGATAGTATCAGCTGCTCGCCTAGGCCATAAGCAGGTAGCTGGATGGAAAGTGGGAGGAACCATGACATGAACAAGTGTCCATATGTGGGATCCTGGCGCTTGGAGGGGGAGGATTAGCTTGTTGAGTCATTGTGTTGTACCCTGCCACATCCATTTTAAGCCCCAGCTGCTAACTCATCGTTCAATTCTCAGGTTCAACATGTGATTCTAGTCTCCATCTGCGTGACGAAAAGTGGATCAGCTCTTACTGTTGGTCTCTGCCCAGCTCTCCCTGATGCTCAGCAGTCTTTTAGTTGATGTTCAATCTCTTTCCCCTTCTCAAATTTTGTTTGAGCAAAAAATTTTTAAAAACATTTTTTAATGGAAAAGTCACATTCAGAGAGAGGAGAGACACAGAGAAAAATCTTCTGTCTGCTGGTTCATTCCCCAAGTGTCCACAATGGACAGAGCTGAGCTGATCCAAAGCTAGGAGCTTCCTCCAGGTTTCCCATAAAGGTGTAGGGTCCCAAGGCCTTGTGCCATCCTCTGCTGCTTTCCCAGGCACAAGCAGGACAAGAAGCGGAGCAGCTGGGCCATGAATTAGTGCACCTGCAGAGTGAGGATTTGGCTACTGAGCCATCGAGCCCAGTCTTGAGCAATTTAAGTTTTTATTCCCTCCCTCCCTTTATTTGAAAATTGGTGGGGGAGAGAAAAAGGAGCGATATCAAGAAAGCAATTCAGAAACAGAGCAAGACCCAATCTGTGATTCACTCTCCAAATGCCTATTACAGCCAGGACTGGGCTGCGTCCAGGAACTCGATCCACAGGTCTCCCATGTGGGTGCAGGGGCCCAGGTATGTGAGTGATCATCAGTGTGCCCTCTCAGGGTGCACATTAGCAGGAAGCTGGAGTCAAGAGCTGGAGCCAGGCACCAAAGGAATGTGGTAGGACATGGGCATCCTCACTGCTCAGCTGAAAGCTCACCTGCTGTTTCTGTCTAATCCTTCAGCCTTGCCTGCTTGGTCCATGGTAACCTCCCGAGACTGGAGTCTTTCCTGAGGATGTGCTCATTGCTCAGTGTCACTCCACTGTCATTAGACATAGCTTTGCTCTTTACTGAGGTCGAATAATGACACCACAACTCACACTGCTCTATCTTAAGATGGATGGCCCCCTAAATCAAGAGTACAGGACTCACAGGCTTGTCAGTGATCTGACTGCCATGGCCTGCCCCTCAAAGATGAGTTGGGATTAGGATTCTCTTCACAAGAACATAAAACAGGAAAAATCAAAGTTTGTGGTCCTTTTGATACAAGGATCTGACTGCAAAGGATCAAGTACCCTAGTACCCTGTTTCTGGCCATATGCAAACTTAAGCAAAAAGATGACACAAGGTTCCAAAGCCCAAGAGGAAGGTCTGTTCCTGTCCCCAGTCCTGGAACTAAGCTGCACCCATTCTCAATGCTGGGCTGACATCATTCCACACTTTTTTTTTTTTTTAAGATTTATTTTATTTTTATTGAAAAGGCAAATCTACAGAGAGGAGAAACAGAAAGGTCTTCCATCTGCTGGTTAACTCGCTAGGTGGCTGTAACGGCCAAAGCTGAGCCAATTAAAAGCCAGGAACCAGCAGCCTCTTCTGGGTCTCCCAAGACTTTGGGCTATCCTCTACTGCCTTCCCAGGCCACAAGCTGGGAGCTGCATGGGAAGTGAAGCAGCAGGTTAGAGCCAGCACCCATATAGGATCCTAGTGCACACAAGGTTAGGATTTAGCCAATTGAGCCATAGTCCCAGCCCCAGAAACCCTGCCTTATGGCAGAAACACAACAGAAGGCCAGCATCACTAGCCATCGTCACTTGTGACCAGTAAGTCACCATGAGACGGGATCTCTTTACCATAAAAGCAAGTCATGTCCCTGGGGGGCCTAAAAACCCAAAGACTTCTGGGTCCACCCACAGGAATAATACTCTGGGACCAGGACACCTGCCTCTCTCTTTTTTTAAGCTTTATAGGAAATTTCAAAGTGTATAACCTAGGGTTATAGTCTCCCACTCAAAGGCATGGGTAGAACAACCTCCTGTTCTTTGTTCCCTAGAATGAGCTTCTGATGAGCAATCTGTCTTCATACTAACGTTATTTGGGCACAGCTGGTCTGTCAGTTATGAGAACACCCAACCAGATTTTCATTGAGCATTTCCACAAGTCCGGTAGGGAGAGTGCCAGGACCGGTAAATCATGGATAAACGACACAGACTCATGCCCTAAAAGGAGCCGGGGCTGGGGAGAGAGGCACATGACTTCCACTACAGAACCAGGTGGTGACGGGCAGGACATCTAAGGTGTCTGGTGCACGTCAGGGAAGTCTAATACCCAGCTGTTCCAAATGCCGTGCTTACACAAAATCAGAGGTGGTCCCTGTGGCATCATCAATTGTGTTGCTATCTGCCCAGTCCTGCTGGTCTATTTCCAGTCGAGCTCCCTGCTAATGTGTCTGGGAAAGCAGTGGAAGAAGGCTGAAGTGCTAGGGTTCCTGCAAGCCAGGTGGGGCATCTGATGAAGCTCCTGGCTTTTTGCTTTAACCTGGCCCAGCCCTAGCTCTCATGGCCATCTGGGAAGTGAACCTGAAGATCTGTCTCGCCCCACAACC